TCTGGATTCCCTGTTTTGGCCACAATTTGCATTTAGCAGTCAAAAAGGCCATAGAAATCGATCGTGTGGTGAGCTGTCTGTCCTGGCTATGTAAGACAGTGTCAGGCTTCTCAAGAGCTAATAAAATGTCAAGGCAGCTGAAGGAAAAACAAAAATATTTAAAGCTACCAGAACACACGCTAATTCATGATGAGCCTACACGTTGGGGATCCACCTATGATATGGTGGAACGCTTTTGTGAGCAGCAGCAAGCAGTCTGTGCTGTTCTAGCTGATGACAGAAAAAAATGGTTCCTGATGCCGAAAGACACAGACATGACAACTTTGGAAACAGTGAGGGATGTCCTGGCTCCACTCAGTGATTTTACAGATGCCCTTAGTGGAGAGAAAGAAACAACTCTCTCATCAGTCCTGCCACTCTTGTGGAAAATTAAAGCCTGTCTGAAAGCTGAGGAAGGTGGCACTGGAACTGGAAATGAAGGAGAAATGTAGAGAAGAATTTGAAAAGAGATATGATGAGCACAATATTAAGATGGCACTGAACATCTGCACCTACCTAGACCCCAGATTTAAAACCACATTTGTTACAATGGAAAAGGAAGTTAAAGAGGACCTGCTCCTAAAAGCTTACACAGTTCTGCTTCCAGAGGACTCAGACTCGAAGCACCAACCAGAAGGTGCTGTAGCAAAAAAAGAGAAGTGATCTAAAAAGCCTGCTCTGCACCATCACCTACGAAAAGAGGGGAGCAGACAGTTCAACAGGACAAGATTCATCCACATTGACAACACCTAAAGACAAACTAAACCGTGAGATGACTGACTATGAACAGTTAAGAGATATAAGTGCTGCACAGGACCCCCTAGCCTGGTGGGGTCATCATGAGTCTGATCTTCCCATCCTGGCTCAGTTTGCACGGCAATATATGTGCATTTCAGCATCAAGCTGTGCATCAGAACGTGTCTTCAGCACATCTGGAAATATCTGTAGTCCAAGGCGTTCTAGATTGAGTGAGGAACACCTAGACATTTTGGTTTTCTTGGCCAAGAATCTCAACAAGACAAAAAGCCTGAGTCAGACTCAGTAGATAGTCTACTCCAAAAGAATCAGCCACCCAATAGTAGGCAAGAGAGGGAGTAGGGAGAAGGGACATAATGTTGATAGGAAAATAAGAGATTTTGCTGCTACAGTTGCTAGCTTATTTTAATTTCAAATAATTTTATTTGTTCTAATTGTTCTAAGTTAGAACTTCTAACTTCATACTTTTTATTTACTCACACTGACTGTTCTAAAAAAAATTTTTGAGTGCAATAAGAAAAGCCTAGTATTTTGAATTTTATTTTGATGTTATTCTAAGATTTTCTATTAAAAATAAAGTCAGTAATGACATTTTTTGCGTTCTCTTTTTATCTGAAAAACTATCCAAAAGTATCGAAAGTATCGAAATACATTTTGGTACCGGTACC